GTCTCCTGATTTTTGAAGTAAAAATCACGCATGGACAGTATGGCATATTTTTTGGAACAACAATCAGAAACTATGGAACTCTATTCTGTTGGAGTATAAATTTCATTGTAATCAAGACCAAGATATTACCAGGCTCACAGGACTGCCATGATATGTCCATCTCTGTTGTAGAGAGCTCAAAAGAAGATTTCGGCGCATGGCAGTAGACGGTCTCAAATACAAATCCTTATTCAACTGTTTGGCCTGCAAAATTTAATAAAATAAATAAATAAACAAGTAAGCATTTTGAGCCCAGTGGTTTAATTAACAAAACTATTTATAATGTAATACCTCCAGAGAGGCGAATGGCATGCTGAGTAGGATGAAGGTATCAGCGAGAACCTGAACCCAATACCAATCCATTTATGTTGTAAATTTGACTTGCACTTTCAACGGGTAGTAATTGATATCAATAATTTTGTTAAGGTTTGCAGCAACAGTTGCAGTTACCTATTAAAGCAAGAAAAGAAATGTCACAGTAAATCCAACTCCCTTTGGAATTAATTAAAAGATTAAAAATTTTTACACAGATATCAAACAAACTTCACATGTTTTGAATGGAGACCTTACAGTTGAACACCCACTGGAAATATTACATGCACGCATTGCACACTGCAACATCTGTTAGACTTGTGAACTCAATGACCTCTGTGCACAGATTTGACGAACTGCTAGTGCCTAGATTCTGTTGGTTGCTCTTCCTATTGCAAGAATCTTGTAGTTTTAAAAGAAAAGAATATAATAATTAAGACATTTTCATTTGTATATGGTTTCAAAAGCATTCAATATGCCCATGCACACACACGCACACACACAGATACCTTAAAAAGCACATAAGGAGTTTCTGTTTCAATCTGTGAAATTAGAATCTCAAACCAGAGTTTCCTTGCAGAATAAGCATCCTTGCCCTGCCCTGAGTTAAACAGACTTAACCATCAGCATTAAGAAGAAAATTTATGTACCATATTATAGTAATAATTAATTGCATATTTCCTATGATTAATATGCAACATTTCAGATGAAGCACTCAACAACTATACACCAGAAAAAGAACAAAAAATTAATTGCATATTTACTATGATTCAAACTTTAGACAACCAACATGGAGGCTCAAGCTCATAATTGCTGAGATGTCCAGGGAACATTTTACTGATATACACTTGACATATCTATTGACAGATGCATTCTGTAAATCTACAATAAGATTAAACGCATTTTAAAATTAAAACAAAAGATGGGAATAAAAAATGTAGGGAATTTGACCGTTTGACTGTGTCTAACTACCCTTTCTCTTGCCTCCCCCATGATCAACATGGTGAGCAGCATAATTAAAAATGCAGAGCAATGGAACAAAGCTATTTTAAGTCCTGTTTATCCTACAGATGTAAATGCCAGTGGGATGCATTTTATGAATGGAAATACCAATTCCTCAGATTTACTTATATCAGCGCACTCCTTCAGAGGGTCGTATATGCCCTCAATGCTGTCATCCCTCAAGCAGAGTAGAAAACAGCTATGCAGCTGCCTCATCACAACAGAGAAAAAGGTAAATCATTGTCAAGACTAATGTTGTAACTTATAGAGCAGAAAATTTTGATTTTATAATCATACTTGGTACTGTTTTGGGATGTATATTCACTCCTATAAGTAGACTCAAACCTGAGTGTACACTTAGTACTAATGCTGTCAAGGCTTTGGAGTTCCTGCATTCAAAAGGGTAGGTGTAGCATGAGCATAGCAAGGCCGGGACATCAAATGGTATGTTCTCATAGCAGTATCAATGTCAGCTTTGTCAATACCAACAGCAACCCTCATTAACATGTGCCAACATGTGCTGTTGGCTGGGATATTAAAAAAAAAAAAAAAAGAGTTAACACGTGCGGTGGTCTTTCCACTACACTACCATCAATTTTTAGGAGGTAAGACTTCTCAAGGGTCTTCCAACCAAAATAGTCATAGTCAAAATCCCTGTCATATCTCGCGACCCAGCTTGGCAGAGCATTCTGCAACCAAAGTAAGCCAAACACTTCTAAATTTCTCTCCAAATCAATAAACCTAAGAATCTTACAATTTACAAAAAAAATAAGGTAGTTACTGTAGCACACTGCAGATGAAACCTCTCTTCTTTTATCCTTAAAATTCACACAAAGATCATTATTAATGTCTATTAATACAAGTCAAAAGTGAAATAAAGGAAAGAACTCCATCAATTTACAGTGTTCTGTTTTGACATGGAACTATTACATCGCTTGTAATTCAATGCACAAACAGTCAATCTGATGAGGAACAAGAAGCTATTTAATAGTTATTTAGATTATTTAGGATGCTTATGTAATTATTATTATTCAAGAGTTATCTTAGATTATTATTCGGTTCCTAGTTTATCAGGATTAGATCTTTTTTATTTAAGAGTCTTATTAGTTATCTTCATTTTTTTAGTAAGTCTAAGTCCTAGTCTAATTAGAATAGGAATTCTACTTCTTGTTAATTTAGGAATAGTAGGATTATAAATATGCTTGTGAATTCTTTCATTACTCAGTCAAGTTAATAGAATATTTAAAAATTTGCAGCAAAAGCTGTCTCTTGAGATTGTGTGATACAATCTTGGTTGGATTTTTATCCTCTTTAAGTGTGATGCCTAAAGAAACCTAGGTGTGACTCCTAGGGATTTTCTACCTTTCTCATTATTTTTCCATTTGTTTCGCTCTTTCCACACCCTAAACAGCAACTTAAACCCTATTTCACTGTTTACGCATACTGCTCACACCCTAAATTTAAAGTGAACAGCCTCTAAATCCCCAAACCCACCATACCCCCTAACCTGTCCTGCATCAAAATCTATATATAACTAGAGAGAGTAAGGGAAAGCTAAAACTATGCACTGCAAACAACCTATAAGTCATGGAAACCATAAATACTTCTAATAAAGGAAAATGCAATCCATAAAGGCAGAACTCTTAAATCGACCCTCAAAAAATATCGGTAGGGACACATCCACCCCTCAAAAAAAAGCAGAGACAAATTGCCCCTCTAAATCATAAATCAATACAAATCACCTCTTTTTCAACGTTTTCCGTTAAAAAATGCTGACGTGGCAAACAGAATTCTGACGTTTTTCATTGAAAAAAAGGTGATTTGTATTAATTTATGATTTGGAGGGTAATTTGTCCCTGATTTTTTTTTAGGGGTGGATGTGTCCCTACAATATTTTTTGAGGGTGGATTTGAGGGTTTTGCCATCCATAAAGGTATAGATACCTCTGTTATTGTTTCATAAACATCATCTCCAGAAAGAGAAGCCTTCTTCTAGACTTCTTGTTGAAGTAGTTATACATGATTCTAATCCTGCACCAACCATATGAGTAAGTTACTCTTTCCAATTTAAACTTTTCAAATCAAACAGAACACTGTAGGATTGAGTTGGACCAGCAAGTCATGTTTCTGAGAAGGACTTGTATTCTTAGGAAGGTTCAAAACTGCACTTCTGGCTGCCAAATATGACAAAGAAGAGATCATGAGAGAACATAGCCAATCAACCCCGACTGCAAGATTAACAAAGCACCGGACATATTAAGAAAGAGATTCACATATACAAAAAGGAAAAGAGCAATAAGAAAGCAAAACCAACATGTCAGCAATTGGTCTCTAACATTTTATTCACTAATAAAATCCACAAGCTTAATTAGATTGATTGGTGGACATAGCACCGGCAGTACATTGGTCTATGCAGCTAACTCATCAACCAACAAGATGCCAACACAGACCTTCTAAGCCATGAGAAGAACAGGTCACAGTGCAGTACATTTTGTCCAAAATAAGTAAAAGAACTAGGAGCAAGTAAAGACGACAATAAAAGAAAATTCTAGTTTCCAACACTGTCAAAGCATTTAAATCGGCATACATGAAAATAAGAGACCAAAGATGAGCCATCACTCATATAAATATATCCTGGGAAGCAATGAATCTCTAATCTAGTACACCATTGCAGTTCCAAACCGTTAGCACATTAATGCAAGTTTTCTCTTTGACTGTAGCTGAAAGAATGAAATCCAGATAATGCACCTGCCAAGTGAGTTGGAATGATTACACAAAAGGGCTGACTCTTTGCAGCTTTGCAGTTAAAGCAGTTGAGATTTGAGTTTGCATCACATGCCAGCTCCTTGAGTTATAGTTGCATACTAGCATGTTTTGGGAAGTTGACCTCACTTCCCAAATAGCATGGCCAGTGTTGTCAAAATCTAGATTTAAATCTTAAAATCTTACGATTTTACGATTTCAGCAAGGTATTTCGTGTAAAATCCATACTAAAATCTAAAATCAGGTAAAATCTAGATTTTACTGTGAAATCAGGTAAAATCTCGATTTTACCTTCTGTTTGGCAGTTGGACTTTTTGCCTATTTCCTTTTGGGTTTTTCATCTTGAATTAGTGAGTTTTGACTAGATAATCCATAAATTAAGCTCATTTTTCATTTTAAAAGCCCACGACCCACACAACCCAACCACAAATCAACATTTTAATCGAGAATTCAGGACAAATTTGATTTAACCATCTAAAATTCTAAATTTAAGTCATCTTCTTTAGTCATCTTCTTCGTTTAATTTATTTGTGTTGTTGGATATTTAGATTTTAATTAGC